CGGCTCACAACTCCAACTCCAACTCCGACTCCAACTCCGTTTTCGTGTGAATATGAATTAGCTTCATTCCGGCTAATTGACAGTGGCACAAAAGAGTCTCTTGCCCCTGCCCCTGCGCCGCACAATGGCTCTTATCGGCAGACAAGTCTATTTAGTGGGCCTCCTCCTGCTCCGCCTCCACGCGGGCCGGGCCGGGCCGGGCTGACTCGTGTGTCAATAATGTCAAATGGAATGTCAACAGGCACATGGCCACGCGTCAGGCCCCCCCCCCCAATCGCCCATCGCCCATTGCCCAGCCCAACTATGCATATGTGGATGGTTATGGGATGGGATGGGATATAATTCCAGCGACCTCCTCGGTCGATCCGAGCGTTGCGTCGGCGAGTCTTCAGTTTCAAAGTTCTCTTGAGTTTAGTTTACAGATCGGATTGGATCGGCTCGACTCGACTCGGCTCGGCTCGGGTCTCTCTCTCTCTCTCTCTCTCTCCTCTGGCTCTCATTAACATAACAAGTAAAGTCAACAATGAAAATTGTTGTCTAAACAAGACGCGAACGGTCGCAACGTTTCAATAAACGTCCATCCGTCCGTCCGTCTGGCTGTCTGTCCGCCTGTTTGTCCGTCCGTTGCAGCAGCGCTGCAGAATTTATTGAGGCTGTGGTAAATATTCGGGGCTCGTTCAAAAGAAATCAAACAAGTAATTTGTTTATTTGGCCAGGGCAATAAAATGAGTAAGCGGCAGGAGAAAGCAGTGGAGAGCGTGAAGGAGAGAGAGCGATAAAGAGAGAGAGAGAGACAACTGTGGAGACACCGCGCTGTGGATTGGGATCGATAAAAGACCCGAGGCGGAGGGCGAGGGCGCCCCCATCGACTAAGTAGATGCGGGTGAGCAGGTTGAGTAGGGGGGGAATTTCTGCGCGGAATGGAAAGACTTGCAGCAGCCAATTTCAGATTTCACAACAATTATCATGTATCTCTTCATTTTAGGGTTTTATTCCTTCTTTATCCTCATCTTTGTTTATTCTTTAAACACATTTAATCGTAGTAGTTCCTCTCTTAATTTTATTGCAAATATATTTGGATATTTCCCTACTGATCCTCAAACACTGATCTCTCATAGATCCTCCTCTCTCTCTCCCTCTGATTTTCCCATTGATTTGCAAATTTCATAACCTTCCAGACCGCTTGATCTAATGATCACTGATCACAAGATCCATTCATTCGCTGACCTTGGCTGAACGACAATCACAGCTGAATATTTGCTCCGATCATCTGATCTCCGATGCATGTAGATTTTGTGCGGATTTCTGATTGATTTATAGCGATTAGCATACTAATTGCTTGTTCACGATCACTTTACTGGCATCGCTTGTATTGGAGGAGGTGGGCAGGGAGGGCGGATCACGAAACCGAAACCAATTCACAGGCGATCCATGAGAATGGGAGAGAGAGGAGACCATCTAAATCGTATTACGAATGACAAACGATTCGTTTCATATGCACATGTGTACGAACCAATGCTGAAAGATCAGTCCAAGAGATTTATTTACCATTTTTGGGTAGGTGGGGAGAGGAGCCAGGGCCAGTGCCAGTGCCAGGGCCACGGCCAGGTAGTCGTCCATGGATCACGTCTGCCTAGGTGCAACAAACGGCGAAACTTATTAGGAGAATCCGTGTATCTGTATCGCTTGTGCAAGGCGCGATACTTGTAGTTTCATAGAATTTTCCATACTCTGTAAGAGACACACACACGAAAAAGATGGATAGATAGGCCGAGTCGGCGGCGGTGGCCATGTCCGATGCTGACAAATCGCCTGTAATAAGTCAAAATGTGTTGCCACTTGTGCTCACCGTTGCAATCGTTGGAATCAGAATCAAAGTCTTTCCTTTCCTTCCCTTCCCTGCCCTTCCCTGCCTTTCACTGCCCAGCCTTATTGATGGCCTGACAGTCGGTGTGCCTTTCCTGCGGTTCAGCTCTCTCCCATGCGGCACTTTCACTTGCCCCTTGTCCGGCATTTCTCCTTTCTAATGAGGATCCTTTACCTGCCCCAAACACACAACAAATTAGTGAGAAATCTCAGCCAAATCGATTTGATATCAATGTTCAATGGCTGTTGCTGTTGCTGTTTAGTGCCTGAAGATGGACTAAAAAATGAGCTACGAGCTCGAAAATTGATCTGGGTCGGGCGTTTCAGTCAACTACCCCTCTCTCTCCCCCGTAGGAGTAGGAGTTTGGGCATATCCTCGTTTTGTCTGTGTTGTGGTCGCTTGTTTATCTGACGCTGGTGGTCCGTCCCCCCCCCGTTTCGCCTCTGCAACAAATTTTGATTTATCTTTTGGATGCACCCTTTGTCTTCCTTCATTCTCATTCTCCCGCTTCTGCTGCTGTTGCTGTCGGTTCTAAATATAGGCTGCTGCTGCTGGTGTGGCGGGCGGCGTTCACACCTTCTGGCCACAACAACTAACTGGCAAACAGACAGCGACAAATTCGTTACAAGCCGCCACAGTTGGCGGGGCAGCAAAGGAGTCGGCGGAGGCTGCCTGCCTGCCTGCCTGGCTGCTGTCCTTGTGGCTGCTTTGCTTAACAGCAAAATGCAATAATTGTAGAAGTGCGAAAACCACTGCTGTGGTGCGTTGTCCAACTGCTGCTGCACCTTCTCCACTCGGCGGATATTCCGTCTGCGAATTCTACAAATGAATTTTGCCCAGGGAATGTGACCCCTTCCCCCCCAGAGATGCGTTCGAGACCACATTTCGATACGGCTAAAAGTTGATACCGTTTCGGTGGTGGCTCCAGCAAAATTGCCATGGGCCAATCCTTTGGGGTGTGAGGAGGGGGTGGCACGGCTCAATCTGAATGCTTTACGCTCCATATGCCACGTGCGTCGTCCTCCTGCCCCCGCAAAAGTCATTTTAAAATTTAAGAAGACCACACACACACACACCCGCAACAAACGGCCAAAAGAAACAAGAAACACCAAGGAGAAAAGGAAAAAGAAACAAAAAAAAATGAAACCAAGTCAAATTCCTGGTATAAAATTCATTGAAAAATTTTATGCAACATAAATTTTGCGTGCAGGATTTGCCTGGCCATCGACCAGGACCAGCACCAGCACCAGCACCAGGACAACCACAAGGATATCCATCGGGGGGTGGGCCCGGGGGAGACTCAATCACATGCAAGTGGACCAACCAACCAACCGACCGACCGACCGACCGGCTGCGGGTGTGTGTGTATCATTTCAATTTTAAAACCAAACGAGCGTCGACCCGGCGACCCTTCTGCCCACGCCCCTCACGAGCTCAAGCATCGAGAGCAAGGCGCAAAAAAAAAACACAAGAAGAAGGCAAGCGAATGGTGGGGTGTACGGACTTCAAGATACCCGGCACTCCATTTCCTTTGAATTATAACGATTGAAAGTACGGGCCAAGATTTACTTATGGTATGGATATATGATTTGAACCAAAATACGCACACAGACAAGCAGATAGATCTGCACTGTCTATTCGGTTAAAAAATTGAAACTACTTCCCTTCGTACTTCTTTCTTTGCTGGATGAAAATAATAAGCCCCTCGCGCGGCGCTGCAATTAAAAGGTAGCAGAAAAAACACACACACAAAACCCGCCCCCAGGAAACCGCTTAAGATGGAATGCCGCCTGGCCTGGCACACGGCAGGACTTTCGACGACGAACGGGACATTGGGTCGCCTTGTCCTTGTCCTTGTGCCTGGCGCCTTGTCCCTGTCCTTGTCCCTGTTCCTGTCCCCGTCCGTTTCTCGTTTCTTGGTTTTTGGTTTTTGTGTGTGTGTTTTTTTTGCTTTGGTCCTTTGGTCGTTTGTCGGTTTTTATGGCTTTTTGATTTGCCATTTCTGGTAGCAAATGATCAAAAATTGAATGAAATTGTTATTTTCAAGTGGAACATGTCCTTTTTACAACCAAAAGAAAAAAAAAACTTTTCCAGATTGAGGGCTTCGACATGGCCGCTTCACCGCTCCCACCTCTTGACTGGTCTTTGTTGCGGGTTGTTAGCCCTAATAAGAGGCATCATCTGTCACTGGAGGTGGGGGAGGAGGAGGAGGAGCGACTTGAGATGCGATTTGGGAATGGGTGTTGGTTGCGTCTCACACTCCCCCACCCCCCGAGAGACAGGACAGATCGTGAGACACATTCGGCATTTAAATCTTCATTTCCATATCCATTGTCGTTTCATTTGGAAATTGAAAAATTTCCAAGCGATAAAATTTTATCATACCCATTGCCCAAGACACATCCCAAATGCCAAATGTCAACGAAAGGAGTCACGAGTCGGACGACTCGTCGTCGTCGTCGTCATGTGTGCTCCGGTTCTGGCAGGTGCTGACTGGCTGGCTCACTGTGGGATCCTTGGATCCATGGCCATGGCAATGGCAATGACAATGAAATGCTCGAGTGTGAGCTGGCCCGAAATTGGGACCGAAAACAATTAAAATATTTGCTTAAATTACATTTACACATTCACTCGCACAAATGGCGATGCGATGCCATGGAAGTGGAGGTCTGGACATCAGATGGAGATGGAGATGGAGATGGCTTTCGTACCCATCCCTAGCCCTGCATTACCCAACAGCCACCCCAAACCCCCTAAAGTGAGGCTGCACAATGTTAATTATGAATTTATGATCCAATATTTATTGCCAATAAGCCCCAGCAGGCACCCAAAGTAGTAACTAAACCACTGACCAACCCCCGCGCGCCGGATGCGGATGTGGCTGTAGCTATAGCTGTGGATGCGGGCTGTCCACAACTTAACCCACTGATGCGTCGCTAATGAACTTTTGTCATCATCCTCCCAGTCACTAACTTGACCAGAACACATCCACAATCAGATATTGCCACACATGGCGACACTCTGGAGGCTGTTGTACGTGCGGCTGATGGGGGATGCGGTGTGAACTTGCTTCAAGTCTATCGACATTGTTTTGCCAGCTGGATCATGTACATATATATATGGGGTATGTATGGTATATAATATGTAGTTAAATAAATATAAAATTATTATTGAATCATTTGCTTGTGACTTTGTCTTTCAATTTTTGCAATGCCCAAACTCTCCTTAAAGGGTTTTCCTTCACATTTTTCGCATCTAAAAGTTGGCCTAAATTTTGTGGACTCCCCCTTCTTGCTCCTCCGACTTGTGCCCTCCGTGTGGGGCCTACATAAAGCGAGAGATTTGTGCTATGGTAAAGAGAATAGAATCGTGTCCGTCATTCATTCCCTGGAAATGATCATCCACACCATCGAGGCCAACTGGCTGCGGCTCCATGTGCAACTCTGGCAGGATCGGCTGGTGGTCCATGTCCACATCGAAATTGATGGGCGTATTGGGGGCTGTTGGGGCCGGCTCGGGCGTGTTGAGCGTGCGCGCGCGCTCTTCGTCCTCCTGCATCATCAGATTCTGCAGTGGAGATGACAGCAGGTCGTCATCGGCCTCACCGAAAATCCTCTGGAAGCTGGCGTAGCCGAACTCCTCGTCGGTGAAGGTGCGCGTGGCCACGGCCACGGAGATGGGGCCATGGGGCAGCTCACGTACACCCTCGTGGCTGTTGTCCAGCCCAAAGGCGAAATGGGAGACGCGCTCAGTGCCGGCATTGGCCAGAGCAGCCTCCGATGCAATTTCTGCGAATTAAAATCAATAAACAATACACAAAATTACAACAAATGGCAGTCAAAGTTTACATATCGAATGGATTGTTATTTTCCGCTGAATTGAGCCGTGATCCAATCCAATCGATTGCCTCTGCTCACTTATCGAATTCCATCTCCACTCGCATTGAGGTTGGTGGTCAGTGGTCAGGGGTCAGGGGTCAGGGGTCAGGGGTTGATCGAACCACTTGAGGGCGATCCAAATACTTTTAATGGCTCCCGTTTGAGGTTCGCGCTCCCCGAATCCCCCCGAATCCCCCCGAATTTTTATGGCATTTGTTGGATTTGTTGGTCGGGTCGGTCTTGTTTGGCCATGTTTTATGTGTTTCGTTTCCATTGAAAACCCCCAAAGAGATGAAACAAAAAAAAAAACCACAACAACAGAAATTATTTGTAAACGGCGGCTGTGACAATTTTTGTCTTTTGCGGCGTCGCGACGTTCCGTGGAAGTTCCTCCGCCACAGCCCCATAGCCACTAAAAAACAAACTCCAAAAAACACACCGGCGGAAAAAATTAATTGGAAATTTTTATGTCTCAAACATGTTGTAAGCGCACAGCAGCGGGCAGCCACAACAACAACAACAACATGAAAGCAAGTTCGAGGTTAATTGTTTGATTTTCTAACAAAAAATATAAATAATTTTTAAGGCCAATCTCATGAGAGAGCTGCTACCTGAGAGACACGAGCTGAGCTCTGGCCCACAGGAAATGTTTGGATTGTTTTCGGTTTTCGGTTTTCTGTTTCTTTTTTGTTGTTGGTTTTTGTTTTGTTTCAATCGCTGTTTTGGTTTCGGTTTCAGTTTTCGTTTTTTCGGTTTCGGTATCTGCCTTTGTGCCCACTTTGTTCCTTATTTTTCAGCCTTTTTTTGCAGCTTATTTATTTGAGTGCTTCTGTTACACATTCATCGAGTTGCCGCTTTCCGGAGAGTGTAAACAGAAATTGGCGATTTATGATTGCCGCCTCGCGCGATAACATTGTAGGAGGGGAGGTGGTGCGCACGGCCAACTCGGTTTAGGGGTGACCCCACTAGAGGATATCCCAGTCCCAGAGGATGACCATCCATAGGTACAAAGACATACATGACCCAATCCCAATCCCCATTTTGATATTTGCCATGAATAGGTGACCCCGTCTGACCATTCCAAGGTTAACCTTTAAAAGGTGACCCCGAAAATCGAGGTTATTCGTGCAGAAATGGGTCCTGCATGGGTATCCAATGCATGGTTGATCCCTACAGAGAGCCTTCTCTAGGGATAATCCAAAGGTTATCCATCAAAAGATGTCCCCATTCAGGGAGGCTCTCATTCAAAGGACTGAGATGCGAACGAGCAGTGGAAATGTGATAGCTGACCTCTCCCGAGAGCCTTCTTTACGGATAATCAATATGCTATGCCACCCATGCAGAGGTGACCCAAGCACCTGTGGTACCCTGTGACCTCACTCACTCACCATTTATGTTATCCATCAGTTGCTCGATCCTCGCTTTACTTTTCTGTGGACTTCACTTAATTCACTGCTCGAATAGCTCAGAATATGTAGCTGCCCGGATTAATCACTTCCTGTTCCCCCTTTGGCAGATGGGCGGCCAGGCCAGCATTCGCACTTCTTTGTGTGTGGGGTGGGTTCGATTACCAACGACAAACTCATAAGCGCGCTCAGCCAATAGATCGATAATTGGAGCTAGATCCGTTAGATTTGCACACGTGCAGCCCTGTCCCTGGGGGAACCGTGAACGAGCCGGCCCTGGCTGCTCCAGTTCGATAGCGATAACAGTCATCGGCTGATCGGCTGATCGGCCGATCGTCCATAAGAGCCGTCGCCCCCCCTAAGAGTCGAGCAGTCGTCAGCCATTGTCGTGGCAGTGCCAAAGATTCGTGAGCTTCGAACAGTAAATGGGAAACACCATGGAAAATGCAAGTGCAGCTAATTCTAACTTTCAATTTCAATTTCAAATCCAAATTATGTTTACGTGTTGAGCCATTGGGGGGAGCCTCTTTCGATGCGCCAAGCAAAAATAAAATAAAATCGACGCGAATTAAAGTGTTCGATTTGGTCGTGAAGTTCGGAAATTCGGACTCCCTCTGGACTTTGGCCGGGTGTTAGAAATTCCATTAAGCCTGCCAATGGCGGTGGCGATGGCGCCACAACTGACACACACGTCGCTGTTTGTCCGCGACAAGATCTGTACCGTGCCCCCCCCCTGCTTTGTCCGCTGTTGTCCGAGTCAAGTCGCCATGCCACGCCACGTGCGCACAGGAGCAGGAGCAGAAGCAGCAGCAGAAGAAGGAGCAGCAGCAGCAGGTTAGGCGACTGGTGGCGTCTACGATTTCCTGTCGCAGGTTAAATGTTTTCCCGAGTCTCCACTGCGCTGCACTGCTCCACGCTCCACGCTTCCCGCTCCCCACTCCCCACTCGAACAGGCGACGAATACTCGATAGTTGAGCAGACACTGATCAAACAGTTTTATCTACTTTGCATAAAGCCCAAATGCGCTGTTCGAGTTCCTCTCGGGTCCATCGACAGCTCCGTCAGTTGGGGCTTCAAGTTTGGAATTGCCAAGTGAAACTTCTAGATTTATAATGACTCAATTTTGTTCTCTTTACTGCAAGAGCGCTTTGCAGCGGACACTAATATCGAGTGAGTATCAGTGGCAGAGCGGAACTTTGGCTGGCAATCGACTGACATTTGGCATGCGACTCTTTGCAGATTCTTTGCAGATGCCCAATGATGAGCCCCTCGAGCTGGAAGCACTGGCCAGCACCCTACAAGCCAGGTATGTGTGTCCCGGGGCATTGCAAGGCTCGATCGGTTGGTGCGTAGCGCAGCTTTTATTTTCTTTTGTGAATGACTCGCACTGGGACTTGGACTGGTACTGGGACTCGGAGCCCCGAGTTGGATTTGGATTTGGTCTCTGGGGCTGACCAAGTCGGTTGTTTCGGATTGTTTATTTAACTTGCACCTCTTCCGGCTGACTGCCTGCCCCTTCCAGCCCCTGCTGGCTGGTGGCTGCTGGCTTTATGGTTATGGATACAGTAGCCAGTACTTGCCTCCGAGTCGTCGGACTCGCGCAGAGAGACAGAGAGAGAGGGAGAGAGAGAGAGCAACAGTAGCAATGAATTTGCATGTAGTACATGAAAACCGTGATCTCCAATTTGTTGTTGCTGCCTGTTTGCCAGCCCCGCCCCCCCTCCTGGATGCTGATGCTCCTGCCACCAGAGACTCGCATCGGATGGCAAGGCATGGAATGGCATGGCATGGCATGGCATGGGGATGTGGCATGGGGCTTGGCATGGCGTTGCTGCTTCGAATTGGTTACAGGGCCTGTGCCGTACTTAGCTACATGCCAAAAAGTTTTGTAACATTATTTTAAGGTGCCGGCCCCCCTCGCGTCACTGCGCCTGCGCTGGTCGGGTCGGTGGCTCCATGGAGCCTCCCGTTGCAAGAAAAAACGTTGCAAGTTGTCAAGCTTGCCATGGCAAATTTGCGATCAAGCGACAACAACAGTGACAACAAGAGCCGGTGACGGGACGCCCAGCCCCACCAGTCCCTCTCCACTCACCCCCATGGCCATTTCTATATGCATCCAAATCCAAGACACACTCGCACACTGTGTGATCTGTGAGCCAGGCTTCTTGGGTTTCAGCGCTGTACATCACGTCGCCTTGTACGCCACGTACCACTAGCCTCTGCCTCTGCCCCCCCTTCCCCCCCACACCCTTCTTCCAGCAGCAGGTATGGACTTGGGCTTGGGCCTGGCTTTTGGTCCCGGCCAGAGTCGCGTCTGAACTTTATTGACCATATTGATTGCTGCTGTATTGATCGCTTGTAGCTGATAACCAACAAATGGCCGGGGCCATGGCGCACAGTGGGACGCTGTGACACACCAAGCGAGAAATTTGCTCACAGCTCGCAGCGCTGCTTGCTTTATGATGATGAGCCGAGCGGATGAGCGGATGGGCGGCCTCGCTTGGGTTTATGCGCGGCAAAGGAAATGCGAACAAGTCACTTTCCCCAGGAGATTAAAGCTCTTTCCATTTCCAACTTAGCTGCCTGATGGGTCTCAATCTAATGGAACTTTATCTTCCAGAGAACTAGCTTTGAGTTGATCGGCGTACCGCATAAACGTAGACCGCATCTAGCGCTGGCTACCGACCTGCTCCGAAGCCAGCGGGCGGTGCCCGAGCGCGACTCTGGCAAGCTCTCAGGCTCTCCACTGACTGCTGACTGCAGGGGTACACTCCATCTCCGAGACTCGGGTCCCTGGTCCCTGGTCTCCAGTCTCTGGGCACGCTGCATATTCATAATTTCCAGTTGGGGGATTTATCAATTGCACATCTCAGTCATGAAAACGCATAAACATTTCAAAATGCCTGGCGCGGGTCAATAATTTGACATGAACGAAACAATATGCAGACACGTTCCCAGCTGGGGCTGGGGCTGGGGCAGGAGATGTGAGATGGCTGTTGCAAGACAAGGGAACGTCCAGCGGAGTCTGGAAAAACTTTGCTTACTTTTTTTGCTGGCCCATTGATGATGTGTGAATAATTGAAAGCGGCAGCAGTTGCAGGTTGCCTGTTGCAGGTTGCCTGCTGCAAGTTGCCTCTTGCCAGTTGCCGTGTGGCAGCTTTGGCTTCAACTCTCGCGGACATTTGCTCTGGGGGCGGCCCACAGACGGTGCGACTTTCAAGCCTAGTGGCAGAGTTGTCTACCAACAACAGGCAAGCAAACACTCCACAGAAAATCCTCGAGAGGCAGCCCAGAGAGCAACCAGATGCAGAGCTCATAGAGAGAGCTAGAGAGAGAGGTAGAAAGGGCCCTTGCCGTGGCAGAGGGCAGTGAGGAGTGAGGAGTGAGGAGTAAGGAGCCAAGACATGCGCCCACACACAGATTTGCAGTGTTTCTGATTTTTCAGATTTTCAGATCTTCAGTTGTTTTTTTTGGAGTGCTCAAATGCACAGAGAGATACACAGAGAATCTACAGAGAGATGCAGAGATGCAGGAGAGATACAAAAACCCGCCCACATATTTTTATTCCCTGGCCCTGGCCATAAAATCTGAAATTTCTGAATTCTGTTAAGTTTTTTGGTTCGGGGGCTTTCAGTTCTTTCGGTTCTGCAATTCTGCAATTTTGTAATTAATTTATTACTTGGCTCTGGCATGGGGCACAGAAATTGTCGCGACTTTGCGATGTGTCAAAACTATTTTTAATTGGTGGCAGTCCCCCGACAGACAGACTGAACCAGACCATTCCCTATCCCACTCAATCCCGCAGATGACCCGCACCAGAAGGAGGTGGAGTATACAAGAAGATCGTAAACTGTGAGCTGGGGAGCTGGGGAGCTGGGAGATCAAAGCGAGTGACTGACTGCCAAACGGAGTTCACTTTCTATTTTCTGCAGATTTAATTGATATTTCGCGGCGTTGTGTCTGCACTCCACATGACTAATGTCCTACTCAATAGACACTAAAGATGCATTACCCAGTCCCCAGAGCCCAGAGCCCCCACCTCCTACAAAACCGATCCGATACGATCCAAAACTGATCTGTCGAGGGGGGGGGTGCAGACGCGCGGAAAGGGTGGTCTTCTCCTCCGGATCCACAATTGCATTTTAATGCAAATTTGGTGTCAACGCAATATCGACCATGACAGCAGCATCCCCAGGCATCAGCCTTAGCCCCGGCCTCGCCTCTGCCACGGCCTCGTCCTCGGCCTCGAGCATCGCTCGTTGACGCTCACGCACTTTCCTCTCCAACTCCAACTCCAACTGCAACTGCAGCGGCTGTCTCTCTCTGTCTCCCTTGTTGGATGGCCTGTTGCCCTCTCTTTCTGGTGTGTAAGTGGCGGCTGCTTGGTGTTAAAGTGACTGATTAAGTTTTGTGCTGTGTTGCTGTTGGTGTTGCTGTTGTTGCTGCCTGCCTGCCTGACGCTAAACGAATTATACGCTTACGTAGGTGGCAGACACTCCGGCACACAGTCTGAGGCACAGCCAGGGGGCACGAGGCACAACCAGCGACCGATGCACTCGCACTCACACAACGCCATAGAGAGAGAGAGAGAGAGCGAAAGAGCGACAAATGAATTGAGACGCGCCACAAAAGTTATAAATATTGTCGCCTCGTCCCAGGGGCGTCTCCATCGTCTAGTTGTTGCACCGCGTTGCATCCTTGTGTGGGCGGGTGCGGTACCGTCGATGCGTATGCAAAAAAAAAATATCAGCACCAAACCCAGAGCAGGAGGAGGAGGAGGAGCAGCAGCAGACAGGCGAACGATGCCATCGAATGTGCACCTTAGCCTAGGAACTTAACCCTGCCTTGAACTCCAAGCAAAATTAATTATTTGAATTGATATTTGATTCAGTTGAAAGCTGGAAAATATCCGCTGTGGATTTATCATCTTTCCGCTGGCTCCAGCAACATTTTCCCCTTCGTTTCCACTCATTTAATTGACAGACTCGACTCTGGCTATGCTTCAGAGCACCTGACAGATCACAAGATCCCAAGTGGACATTTTTCTGAGAGTTGGCGATGCCGATCGAAGTCGTTAATCCCACACAGGATTCACTTCACTTTCATTCCCAGCGTAGCCAGCAGCCGTACAGCTCAAGAGGCGTCACCTCTTTCTTTTTCCCAATCCCAATCCCATATTCCCATTCCCATATTTACTTTGACATCTAATAAAGTCGTTAAAAGATCTGCGCACAGTCGTAAAAGTTTTTGGGATTTATGGCTGCCTCATGGACTCACTGGTCGTCGGGTCGAGGTCGGGCACTTTTTATGGCGCCGCGACAAAGAGAGAGTGGGAGATGGAGAGGCGGCTACTGTCTGAAGGAGGGAGGATCGTGCCGTATGCCCCGTCCCGAATGGGCTATGCCCCGTATCGATTGCGATTGCGATTGGGTTTAGGATTGGGTTTGTGCACTTGCATAATTGAAACCTTCTCCTTAGTTTACGACGATCGTAAAGTGTTGGGCTACTGGTTCCCATTGCTTTTCCCATCCGTTTGCTACCTGTTGTTCGATTGCCATTGAGGGAAATGGCCAGGCCGGGCCAGGCCAGTCATTGATGCTTATCGGTGTATCGGTGAAAGTTTTATGACTTGCTACGCTTGCAGCTGAGTTTGGACTTTAGTTTACTGCCCGGCGATTTTATCTAATCTGCCGAGGGACTGATCTCACTGGGACCGCGGTGCACTGCCAATGCGATGGCTGGGTACCATCCATCGATTGATTGAGACCCATCAATCGTGGCTATCCCTGAGCAATGTTGCCTGGGAAAGTTGCCAAGTGGAGTGCTTGACTTCCTCAATGGAGATGAAAGCAGCCCCACGCCCAATTTGGGCTCGACTATTGTCAGCGAGTGTCCTGGGCCTGGTTCAAAGCGATTCAATATCTTGCCCATAGTTGGGCCCCCGTCATTTCCTATTGCCCAATCTTTTATTGCTTCCTGTCTCGCTTCCTGGGACAACCTGCTGCTCCTTTCTTTGCTCTTTGCTCTTTCCTCTCTCCCCTTTGCGTTGCTTTTCTTTTGGTTTTTTTTTTGCTTTTTTTTTTGCTTTGAATCGCATTTCAAAAGGCAACTTAATCGAGCAAAATAAACCGTTTTCATATGCTCGAATTGAGGCAAACACGTCGCATTACACGGCACAGAGGAGAGTGGTGGGGAGCAGCAGGACGAGGACGAGGACGAGGTAGCTGATTGTTGTCATTGGGTTCGGTTCTTTGGGGAATATCTGTGGCCCTCGGGGGCATGGGCGGGGGATTGGTTGGTTGGTTC